TTTAAAAAATCTTTTTTTTTTTTTTTTTTTTTTTTTTTTTTTTTTTTACCTTTATTTGATTTGCCAGCTCAAGGTGTTCATTCAAAATTCTTTCTGACTCTGACAGATGGGAACCAACCTCCACATCGACTGCAAGCCTTGAGGTGATTTTTTTAATTGACTGCAGTACCTATATTTGAAAACATTATTTATGTAGTTAATTTACAAGACAAGATGTATATAGACAAGTATAGGAAATCAGTTTACAGTGAAAAAAAGAGAAGTAACTTACTTGATACCGTTTAAACTCTGTGCTTTGTACAGTCAGAGAAATTAAGAATAAAATTCTACTATTTCACACCTAACAGTACAGTCAGAAATAGAAGAAAACATTCCCATCTGCACTCATTTTACTGGCAGTTCTTTTCTTTGTCCCAGGTATTCCAGTCTTGTTAATTCAGTAGGACAACTGTATTAAAACCTAAGTATGACTGCATTGTCATAAATACTTTTATTACAATCCATTTTACAAAAACACCACACAACTTTTTCCAGAAAGTACATTTAAAGCTTCTCTCCCAAGCTAAAAGATCTATTACCACGCAGATTTGTGTACACAATGTTATTTCATTGTCACAATCAATGATTCTCTGGACAGTTGAATTTAGCATTTTAGCACTTCTCTAGAATACTTTATTGTTAGGAGAAGGTTGGAATGGAGAGTGTTTTGCTTGGGAGCAATCTAACAATAATTGGTAACATGTTCTCATGAAAAAAACCTGCATTTTTCAGTATAGATTTACATTCATTGCTTCTGATAACAGTATTCAGCATTTTAACTATAAAAGCATGCTAACAAACCAGTATGCTATTTGTAATTGAGTCAAATTTAATATTCGCGTAGTTAAACGATGGAAATGCAATGCACTGGTTGTGAATACAATAACATGAAGGAATGTTACAGTGTACCTTATTTAGATGATCTTCAAGTGAGACAGTCCACTGTTGCTTCTTCAACATGAGTTCTTTATCATCTGGACACTGCCTGATCAGTTGATCCTCTTTTTTCTTAACATTCTCTATTGCTCTCTGAATCCCTATTACCCAAGAGCTAAAATGGATAAGTGTGTTAGTATTTCTCAGTTTTGCTCAGCAAGCAGGCTTTCAATGATTAAGCAAACAAACTTCCTGTTGATTTGTATGACAAAGAATTTCATGAGAATTTTAAACTGTGACCCTTATAAGAAAAGAAAAATAACCAAGAGGAATATAAAAATGAATGCCAACAAAACTGATAACAAGTAGAATACAGGGATGACATCTCCAAACAAATCACTGGAAGTAAGACTCGCATACTCTATACCCTGATCCAATGAGAAATGCATTATTTCATAAATAGTTTCAAGGTAGTATTACTAACACCACTGGAACTATCTAGAAACTGAGACCACAAATGGAAAGGTCCTAGAAAAGAGTAGAAGTACATGCCATATCATTTCTACCAAAAAAAGAATGTTTTTTTTTTGGATCTACAGTATTATTATAGTAGGTGAGGACTGTCACATACATTGTAAGCCAGTATTTCCTTGAAGATCCTACTTTAACAGGTGAAAAAAAGAAGATATCAGATGACAATTGCTAATCTTGTGATTTAAAACATTTAGTATCAGGTAAACAACTCACAATCTGATGTTGGAGGCAGTTCTCTTCAAATTGTGAAGAGCTTACTGCATATAACTAAAATCTGAAGTTTTGAAACCCAGAAATCAACTGATTTACTACTGAAATTTAAATATAATGAGAATTTCTTGTTAGACGAACATTCAAAATACGTTTTTTTGTTCATGTAGTTTCATCATAAACTTACTTTAATGCAGATACTTATACTAGGTTTCATTCTTTGTCCTCTAAAGTTAAAGAGGAAATTCTGCTGGCTTCAGATAGGACTCAGAGTTATATTAAATATACTTTTTGCTGCATTCCTATTTTTCTAGTTGGTTTTAATTCAAAATCATATGAGCTCAAAAATCAGATTTACCAGTATTTTTATTTGAAACATTCTAGGTCTGTAAGTACTGCCTTCAATCCAGTTTTGATACTATTTCAGTGTCAATATTTTCATCATTTTAACTTATTTGGACTATAAATTAGAATAAGGCTGTAAAACACTCTAAGAGGATTTGAAAGTAATAAAGAAGTAACACATTTCTTCATTTATACTGTGAGTTGGATTTAAGATTAGGGTCAGTGTCGCTAGCCTTAAGCCCTCCCTCAATGTTAGTGTATCAGTATCAGACCTTTTAAATAATAAATTGCCAGAGCTGTATAAACTGCATATAAATTGAGTGGCTCATAGAAACGAAAATAACAAAACAATGCAGAAATCCATTTACATTTTAATTTTCTTAATGTTTATACTTCCCCAGAGCTATAGATTAGTACTACACGTGGCCAGTCACTTTGATATTGCATCAAAATGGGTTTACTATGCTGTCATTAAGACAGAATATCATCATGAGACAAATAGCAAGGTGTTAACCAGTTTGAGCAAAGTCATCTAGCTCCCTCTCTTTATAAATAAATATATCTTCTGTAAAAATGAATATTGGTGTGTTTTTGAAAACTAGTAGTTGTCTAAGTAGCAGAAGATACAATATCTTATCCTCTATGATATATGATGAAGCAATTCTAGAATTACTGTGTTTCAACAAGCACTTCAAGGACCTGGAAGCTATTTTCACATTCCACATCAAATTCTTCTGGCTGCTTTCTAGATCCACCAGATAACAAACACTTAACAGCTATATATTTTATTGTCAGATTACACTTTCTCATTTATCCTATGGCAAAGCTAAAATTTTTCAGGTCCATATGTTTCACTGCCTTCAGATAGGAATTACCATATTCCTCAGGATTTCCAGTCATTGCTATGTAGGAAACAGGAAGATTGTGAAGGCAGTTATGACTGCCAATGATATGAGCAATAATGGAAAAATGTTAGTCAGACTTTAGTCCTGGTACGTGTCCTGTTTTCTGTCCATATCATCGTCTTAGGACTTTTAGCTGTTCATACAAAGTTTGTTGTCCCATTTGATTAATCACTGGCCAATATTTAAGGATACCACACTGTTTATACATGAAAACAACAGAGGGCTCTTTTCCCTCTTATAAAGCATTAATCTTTCTGGAGGAAATTAGCATTCTGGAATACGAACACCATGCTTGCTAACATAATTCATTGTGTCAGTCTTGGCTAGGTATAAGTAAAACGTGTCTCACACACAGTGCTTACTACCAGAACAAGATAATGTGGAATTTCCATCCTTGGAGATATTCAAACTTTGCCTGTGAGCAATTTTACTTAAGCCGAAGGTTTTGAACAAGAAATTGCACTAAATGATCTCCAGGGTACCTTGCCAATATAAAATCACACCATGATAGTAATTGTCAAGCTCATACCTAGGCATGTGAAGTATTCCATCTGTACAAACTAGCTTTACTCATAGAAATACATGGCAACATGGCAAACTCATATTTAGACCATGGAGTCTGAAGACAGCAGAGAAAAATAGAAAAGCCATAATATTAAGCTGTTTTAAGAAAGCAAGCACATATGTATATGATGGAACAAGATGTTTAAAATATTTGGAAATATATATTGAAATATATTTATATATGAAAGATATGTATGGCTGAAACTGTGACTCAGAATCTCATCTGCTTAATTAACTTCAATGGCTGTAAATAGATATTTTAAGTAGTGAAGTAGTAAAGCAACAGGGAGGTATGCAACAACACAGCAAATATAAAAAATGAAGGGAATACCTGTGAGAATCTGCTTTATTAATTAAAGTTTGTCCTTTTTGCAACGTACTTGCTGTGCAGCCTTTAATTTCTTCCTTTAATTCTTCATACTTCATTGACAGGACAGGCAAACTCAAGCCTTCTGAGTTAAAGATTTTAAGGTAATTCTCAAGAGCATTAACTGCCTAAAAAAAAAATAATAATTCAACTTTGTCAATATTTCTATTTAAACATGTCCACACATGCATTTATATGAACGGATAATCAAAGGTCAAACAATATTTCCCAGTTCTTCAGTTTCCACATTCTTTTGGACAATAGCTTTTTAATTTAGGGTGTGATATTGACTTAGTTACCACGGAAGAAAACGTAATTCAGCAGAAGTTAGTGCAATTATGAGTATGTAAAATCATGTTTTGTTTTGATAAAACTAGTCTATTTTCAGCAATTATCAGGAATCTGAAATAGAACCAAAATAGCAACAGTAACACAACTGATAGTGTTAGAGTTCTGCAGAAGCATGCTCATAAGTGCCTTTACCAGCACTTTCTTATAGCACCTATTCTGTTTTCCTTTAAAGCAAGAAGTTTCTCATTCAAATACCAGAAGAAAGGAACAAAAGTATTCCATCTTTCAAAGCAGAATAAAGACAACAGTTCAATACTCCATTATTAAAGCCACTGAATAGTAATTTCAGAAAAATAGAAATGGACCTAAGCCTACTATGTATAATTAGAATCCTAGCAGTAACACTGTAACCTCTTACAGATTTTTATGGCTTTAAATACCAGAATACCTTGAGACCTAAATAGTGCAAGGCAGCAGACAACCGTCTAATAGTATTAATTTCTCCATTTAACATGCACATTAACTCAGCAAAAAATATAATGTATGTAACGCGTGTATATATTTGTGTGCACATATGTAAAAGGAAATCACCAATGAAACTTGAATTCTGTCTTTGAAAACAGTTTGACAGAAACTGTCTTTAGTCTTGCAGAGCAATGTGAAAATTTTAAATGAAACCTTAAGGTACTTTTTACACGTTTATCAAAGAACAACTTGAGTAGAATGGCAACTGGTCAAGAGTATATTAGAAGATGAAGGAAAAAAGTAAGTTCTCAGCAGGTTCTCTTCCTAAACATAACTGAATGCTTTTTGTGTTCATCAGTCTACATCTCCAAGGATAATAGAAAGCTTCCATGGGTTGCACTGCCTTACTTTTCAGCTCTGTTGCTACTATGATCAACTTAAGGCTGCTAACACAAAAATTTATAATTCATGTTCAACTTCACTTGCAAGCAAGAGCAAGACATTAGTTTGATTGATTTTTTCCATAGCAGCTGCAGCACTCATTGGCAGTCCTCTCTGGTTCTGCACAGAAAAGCAGTATCATGTCCTTATTCAGGCTTTCAACAGCTCAACTAAATCAACATTAAACAATGCACATTGTGAGATATCCTTCTACCTCCATCTCTCTCTTTTCAAGACTAACATATGTGTGTAGCTGTTTTGCAACAGATAATTATAGGATGGCATAGATAATGATATGAAAAAAGCATCAAGCCTGCCTGAAACTGTGGTACAAGAGCATATATATATATATATATATATATATATATATATATTTTTTAAGAAATTGCGTCATTGACTTGAATAGTTGACAACACAAACGTATTTTGCATTACATAGTCATATATAATGAACATGTAATCTGCAGATGCAGAAGAGTTATAATAAGCAATCAAAATGCTTAACAGTAAAGTAGGTTTTTATTTTATTTTTAGTTTTCATTCCGGAATGTGAAGTCATAGATAATGAAAACCTTAGAAGCTATAATAAAAAAATAAGCATCAATGTGCCAAAGATAACATGAGTGTAATTCCTACAAGCCAAAATAATAGCCCTCTTTCCTGGACCATTTTGGGAATTTTCTTCCACTAAAAAAAAGTAAATGCCATGCAATAAGTCCAGATGTCTTTTTGAAAGAACTACTATTTCTCTCCAGCTTTCCTGTTTGTTGCCTTAATCATTTTCCATTTTAACTCATGCTACTAAATATATGTTTTATGTTTATTTATTTATTTTATATATATATATATATATATATATACATATATATATATATATATATATATATGGAGAGAGAGAGAGAGAGAGAGAGAGAGAGAGAGAGAGAGAGAGA